GAACATGGGTGTGCATATATCTATTCTTGTTCTGGCTCTCACTTCTTTAGGATCTATACCTGGTAACGGAATGGCTGGATCAAATGATATTTCTAACTCCAACTTTTTAAGGAATTACTTACCTTAAAAAGGAATTAACCATACTGCTTTTTTACAGTGTTTATATCATTTGACAGTCCTACCGGCAGTGTCTGAGAGTCCCAATCTCTCCACATCCTCACCAGCATTTATTTTCTGCCTTGTTGAACTTTGCTAGTAGTGCTGGATCAAGATGGTATCTCATTGTTGTTTGGATTTGCATATCTCTAACCCACCAGCCACTCCTCGGAAGGAAGGTTGGGCAATCCTACTTCCGTAGTGATACTGCCTCGGAAACCCAAGGAGGGGTCGCTATGAGTCGGGGGTTGACTCGACGGCACATAACAACAACAACAACAACAATGGCTAATGAAGGAGCTCTGGTAGCATAGTGCCTAAGGCACTTGACTGCTAACCAGAAGGCTGATGGTTCAAACCCACCAGCAACTCCTCAGAAGGAAGGGTGAGCAATCTACTTCCATAGTGATAGCGCCTCGGAAACCCAGACGGGGCCAACTCGACCGCACATGACTGCAACAGCAATGGCTAATGATTGTGAACATTTCTTTATGTGTTTGTTGGCCTCCTGAATATCCTCTTTGGTGAAGTATCTATTCATGTCTTCTGCCCATTTTTTAATTGGATTATTTGTCTTTTTGTTGTTGAGGTATTGTAGTTTTCTATAAATTCTAGAGATAAGTCTCTTGTCAGATATGTCATTGCCGAATATATTTTTCCCAATCTGTAGATTCTCTTTGGACTCTTTTGGAGAAGTCTTTTGAGCACATAAAAATTTATTTTTTAGAAGGTCCTATTCATCTATTTTATCTTCAGCTGTTTGTGCATTTTGGGTTATGCTTGGTAGTCTATTTATGCCATATATTAGGGACCCTAAATTTGCCCCTAGTTTTTCCTTGAGGAACTCTATAGTTTTAAGTTTCACATTTAAGTCTTTGATCCATCTGGAGTTAGTTTTTATGTATGATGTGAGGTACAGATCTTGTTTCATTTTTCTGCAAATGGATATCCAATTTTGCCAGCAGCATTTGTTAAACAGACATTCTCTTCCCCATTTAATAGATTTCAGCCCTTTGTCAAAGATCAGCCGACCATATGTCAATGGATCTGTTTCTAGGTTCTCAATTCTATACTGTTGGTCTATGTGTCTGTCATTATACCAATACCAGGCAGTTTTGACTACTGTGGCTGTATAATGGGTTTTAAAATCCAGGAGTGTGAGACCTCCTACTTTGTTGTTCTTCAATAATGTTTTGCTTATCTAAGGTCTCTTTCCTTTCCATATGATTGGGTTTTCCATATCCTTAAAGAATGTTGATGAGATCTGAATTGGGATTACATTGAGTGTATAGATTGCTTTGGGTAGAATTGACATTTTCAAAATGTTCAATCTTTCTATCCACAGACATGGCATGTTCTTCCATTTATGTAGATCTCTTGTGGTTTCTTGAAGCAGTCTTTTATAGTTTTCTTTGTGCAGGTCTTTTGTGTCCCTGGGAGCTCTGGTGGTGTAGTGCCTAAGGCATTTGACTGCTAACCAGAAGGCTGGTGGTTCAAACCCACCAGCCACTCCTCGAAAGGAAGATTGGGCAATCTACTTCAGTAGAGATAACGCTTTGGAAACCCAAGAAGGGGTCGCTGTGAGTCAAATCAACTCAATGGCAGTGAGTTTTTTTTTTGTTGTTGTTGTTGTTCTTCTTTCATTTCTGATACTGGTCATTATAGGGTGTACTGTTGAAGGAAGAGTGGAAAGCTTTAGTTAGGATGTGCATGATCATGGTCTGTTGTGTGAGAAATGATTCTCAAGGATTTTATACTAGTTACTCACTGTTCACCACTAGAATTTGGGGTTGTGCTGTAGGAAGTGAGCAATGGTGAAGGATTTAGTAGAAACCGGTAGTGAAGAATGAAATGAATAGATAGCACTACATTAGTTTAATGGTGAAAGTTAGGATAAGCTTATTCATGTCAGCTAAAATAATACAATTTACTGTAGTTATATATTATCTTTAACAGTACAGTGTGATGGTTATGTTTGTGTATCAGCTTGGCTGGGCTGGTTGAGTGGCTGGGCAGCTGGTGGTAGTTATTCCCCATGATGAGACTGGCAGTCAGCTCCATGGTGGGATCTACCACAAGCAGCTGAGTAGTTAGTTGCCTTAGGGAATGTGGTCTGCTTCCTGTATATGAGCAGAAGCCTTGGGGAATGGT